GGGTTCACGTTACCCAGGAGAGCGGCGCTCTGGAGGAGCTGCAGACGGTTTCCTTTGTATTTCTTTAACTAATTTGGAACAATTGAGTTTTGTTAAACATTTTCTAAACTTTGCAGGTTTGCTTTTTATTATTATTATTCTTAATTTGCTGTATTTCCATTTATTTTATTCTAAGATAAAATAAAATGTTTTATTAAGTTAGTGTTGTGTCATTTACTGAGAAACTAAGCCCTAAATAAGAACGAAAAAAATCTAAACGTTTCCCTTAGGTAGAATAAAGTAAATAGTAATTACCGTAACTTCTTCTTGTGACCTGAAGAGGGCGCCCACGGGTCTGAGGGCGCATCCTCCGGTTGCTAAGCGACAGCTCGCCGTCTACATCCCGTGGGGGCGGGGCAAACGCAAAACTTGCGAAAACTTTATTGAAAACTATTTAATTTAAGTGTAATATAATAAGACGTTTATCATGGTTAACATTGAGGACACATTTCCAGTTGTTTTTAGTGAAACTCTGTGTTGAAACAGACATATTTATCAGGAGTCTGAAGGATAATGACCGGTGTTTACAACAAGGTTGGAGTTGCTGGTGGTTCCGATCATGGAACAGGTCGCTACATTTAGCCGTTAGCGGGATTTTACCGTGATTAGCTGAAGGTGAAGCTGGTTTAACTGCCTCTGTTGGTGTGTGCAGGTGGAGAAGTGAGGCAGGGCGGTGTTTTGGGGGCGGTGCTGACGTTCCTGTCGGTGCTCTTCATCCTCCTCACCTTCCCCTTGACAGCGTGGAGCTGTGTTCAGGTAACGCAAAAGCAAACGGAAGCACCCGGTTAAAGATGGCTGCCGCCCTCCGGTCAGCTGGCCCGGACCACCTTCTCTGTTCGCTTTAGTTATAAATATAAAACACTTAAATGGTCAAACATGAACTGGATCATTTTGTAACAGTCTGTTTAAACATAAATTATATAATTCTCACTGTTTGGACAGACCCAAGTATGGACAGAATTTGGCAATAAAGAACATGAGATCTGAAAATAAAGAAACTTTTAAAAAAATCACACACAACCTACACAGGTCAGACCTTTGCTTTAATATTTTACACTAATGACAGTTTCCATAAAACACTATTTTATATACTTGCAACCTTTAATATTTTAGGAAGATGTGTTTTTTTGGCTCTAAGCAACCTGATACGGGGTCCATTGCCATCTCTACACCATGTAGATAAGTTAAACCTGGTCACAATTATTTTATGGCGATTCTCCTAAAATATATCCAGTTTGGTTTTAACTTTCAAATTATTTAAAAAATAAGCGGAATAGTTTTTAGACTTTGTTTGGATTTTTCACTACAATATATGATGTCTAGCTTGAACACTACACAGTCTAGAAAGGATTATTTTACAGTAATGACATTTTCTCTTAAATCATGAGATTAGTGTGTTTTTAAGGTTTTTAATCAGATTTATTTCAAAATCTTGCTGCAGAGTACAATGACTACCAACTGCACCATCATGCAGCCATCATGATTTTTGTTTTAAATCATTTATAAGTAAGAGTATCTTTTCTGAATCAGTGTTTTAACTGATGCATTGTGTCTGTGGTGCAGGTTATCCTGGAGTATGAGAGGGCTGTCATCTTCAGACTGGGCCGGGTCGTTAAAGGACCAGCGAAAGGACCTGGTATCTTTTTCTGTCAAACTCAAACTGCAGTCGTTTTGTTTTTAATTATTATACTAATGAATACATTTATTACGCTGACATTTTAAGACTCTGAACAGGAAAGCTCTTCTCTGAGGCTGTAAAACATATTTTTATTCCGTCTCCTGCTGTAATATTGTGAATGTTGTTGGTTTTTTCCGACTCTGGACCTGCAGGTTTAATCTGGTTCATTCCCTGGTTGGACGACGTTCAGAAGGTTGACCTTCGAACTTTCTCTGCCTACCTCTGCCCTCAACAGGTCTCTGCTCATTAAACAGTTACTGCTGCATGCATTTATTTACAGTTACATGTAAAATGTGTTTGTGTCAAACAGATTATAAGTTGGGATAAGGTTAATTTTATTCTTGAACTTCACTTTTCCTCAGTATTTCAGCTACATTTCTGTTCAGCATGCAACACCTTCTAAATGCAAACTATATCTGCACTGAAATCCTTAGAAAAACTGCAACATGTCTTATGAATTAAACTTCCTACGTATTTAATTTTCAATAAAAGAAACAAATAATTGGTCAGGGAGGAGCACGTTTCTGTTGAAACATTTTCATAAAAATATGTAATGTTTCTGTTTAAAGGTCATACATTTGCAAGTAAAAATGTACAGTTTTCCATTATTAAAAGCAAACATTTATAATATTAAACTAGGATACTCTCTGACATTTTATATTAAAAGAACATCTTCTGATCCAGACTCGATGCATCCATGTTGCAGCGTCTTCTTCACCGTCTCCGGTGGTTTTTCTGGGTCCTGCTCGAGGCTTTATGGTGAGTCCGGACCTTGAAAATGCTCTGGTCCAGGAACATTTCTGATCCAGGAAATGATCCCAGATGTACCATTTCCATTCTGGAAAAGATCCAGATATGCTTCTCCATCATTCACCGTCTAATTCTGAGGAGTTATGCCACTTTTTCTTGCAAATGTCTGACTTTATAATGTCAGAAAATATCTTAATGATTTAAATACTGTTTAAAATTCTGTCTTTAATGATGTAAAGATTTTTAAATTTACAAATTTTGGCATCAGAGAATTTGAAAATACATTAAATGAATGTCAACATTTTGGTTTAGATTTATTTCTCCTTGGCCATTTATTGTTTCTCTTGTTCACTGGCTGTGACCGTCTGTGGTAAAACCTGAAGGTCATGTCAGACGTTTCCTCCTCCTTCCTGCAGGTTCTAACAGCAGACAGCGTCCCGTTACTGGTGGACGCGGTGGTGTTTTACCGCGTGGTGGATCCCACCCTGTGGTTCACCCGGGTGCAGAATGGCTGTGACGCCACACACTTGCTGGTTCAGGCGAGCCTCAGGGCGGCGCTGGGCGCTCACACGCTGACAGACCTGCTGACGCAGCGGCCCCGCATAGCCACGAGAATGGAGGTCAGACGCAGCCAAGCTGCCACAGTTCAGCTCTGCATCAGGGTTAAAAATGATTCTGCTGCTTCACGTACTGCAGGAGGCGCTGCACACCAGCTCCAGGCCGTGGGGCGTTCAGGTGCAGCGAGTGGAGCTCAGAGATCTGAGGCTTCCCAACAGCCTGCAGCGCTGCCTGGCCTCAGAGGCCGAGGCTGAGAGGACGGCCCGGGCGATGGTACCGCTGCAGTAACAGCACCTACCCTGTTCACCACGACACTCACTGTTACCTGAAAGCTGCAGCATGAAACTTTAAAAAATAGGTTTTACATATTTGTTTGACCTCCCTGAAATACTGAAGAAATGCAAAAACAACCAATCAGAGCCAGGAGGCGGGTCTTAGTGCTGTAAATCAATCTCATGTACGCGCTTATTAATATGCCAGCTTACTGTTAGAAAACTGTTTATCTGCCATCAGCCTAGCAAAGGCTATGCTAACTAGCCTTAACATTCATGACAGCCTCTGCTAGCTTCAGAGTAGCACAGAGCAGCGCCACACAGAAACTGTGGCTTTGACCTGCTGCCTTATTAAAAGAAAAACAGATCATTTCCACATTTTTTGGGTCATTAATTGTTTTGTTGTTTGCCAGATTTTTGCCGTTCATGACTTGCGGTTGTGGGCCAAACAAAATCATTTCAAGCCCCACGAATGGACCACAGGCCACACTTTGGCCACCCCTGTTTCTTGTTTCTTTGCCATTAGTTTCAGTTCATCAAATGAGTTTTTTTCTTTCAGTTTCTGTTGTTTTTGTTTTTCTGAGTGGAATGGAAAGTTTTTATTCCTCATTAATATCAGTAACTAAAGGGAACAATGAGAATTTTATACTAAATAATGAACTTATTCACATTTTGTTAAACTCAAATGTCTGATATTTCTATGTGTGGAGTTGTTGTCATGCTGAAAGTTGGATTATTTGTGATGTTTGTGTTGGTTTTGTAAGCATCTCTGTGTTTCAGATGATCGTGGCTGAAGGGGAAGTGAAGGCATCTCGTACTTTAAGGGTGGCGGCGTCCGAACTGTCGCCGGTGGCTCTGCACCTCAGATACCTGCAGACGCTGGCGTCTGTGGACAGCGGCGCCTCCATCGTGGTCTGGATCGTCCCCACAGAGATCCAGTAAAACCAAGACGCAGCAGATACCGCTGAGTTATCCGACCCAGAGAGACAAGAGTTGCTGCTAAACAGAACCAGACCAATCTGAGCTCTCAGGACGTCCGTCTGTCTGCTCAGATGTTTTTTAAATTATCACATTTTCATATTTAATAAAACCAGAAGTGTTTGCAAATTATTCCATGGATGTTTCAGTGTTCCTTAACTCTAAAAAGTTAAAGGTGTTTTACTTGCCTGTGTTTTTTTTCCAGTGAAAATATAAAACTTGTTTAGTTGAAACAGTAAAAACTTTGATTTTACAGACTTTTAAAGTTTATAAATAATCTCAGCAGTTTAAGTTTAGACTCAAACGTCCAGCAGGTTTAATTCTGGGAAAAATTCACCAAGAAATCCTTTAATTAAATCAGTTAAAAGAGTTTAACTGATTTAATTAAACTCGTTTTAATTAACGAGATGGTCACCATGGCAACAGAATGAGAAGAGCATTCACAACAGAAGATTAGGAGAATAAGTTACCCATCCATCCATCAATCCATCTGTTCATCCATCTGTCCATCCATCTGTTCATCCATCCATCCATCCATCTGTCTCTCCATCTTGTCCTTCCTCATCCTCAGTGTTCATGTAAAGAACTGAACCCTGAGAAAGTTCTTCTGTTTTCCAGCTTCCTTCTGGGACCTGGCTCACATTCTGCTCCTCTGGGATCCTAAATGTTTTACGGTTTGAAGGGATAAATGGTCTGGATCTCCTCCCAGAGTGGCGACCCCAGGCGACCTCCCCCAGCAGCCATCTGGCAGCATCCTGACCAGCTGACCAAACCTCCTCACCTGTCCGGTTGGATCTCAGATCTGGATGTTTCAACCTGATGCTGCATCAGAGGAGAGCAGAGAACAAACAGCCTGAGGGAGATCAGAGTCTGATCTATGATCTCATCAGGAAATCCACTTTGACCTGTAAGCAGCCAGGTCAGGTGACAAGTGAGGGGGCGTGGCTTAGAAAGGTAAGCTCTTTAGGTGATCTGAACACTGTGGCCTATCAGTGACCTTTAACCTGGACACTCAGAAGGGCTGACATCAGGATGCAGAAACGTCTCTAAAGCAGACAGAACCAGCAACAATCAGTTCACTGCAAAAACACAAAATCTCACCAAGTAACTTTAGTCTACTTTATAATATCTTATTACTCTTGAAATAAACTAACTTACAAGTAACTTTTCATCAAAACATAGAAGCTTTTTTAAGTCAGTAACTCTTTAATATTGATGAAAAGTTACTTGTGAGATACTTTTCTCTTATTTAAAGTGTACTAAGAAACTAGACTAAAGTTACACTGTTTTTTTGCAGTGTAATGTATAATAAAAAATCCATTTTTATCTGGTCAAAATATTAAAATTATGTTTTGTGGTATTTTAGTCCAGTTTTCCAGGCAGATTTTGTTTCTTTCTTTTCAAACTTAGATGAACAAAAATATAATTGTCTAAATAAGGGCTTATTATTAAACCCCCAGCACAAAATTAAATCTTAAATTGCCTCAATAATTCATGCCACCACTAAACAGATGAGGAAATCATTTTATATGATTCAATAAAAAATGATCATGAAATGAGACTAAATCTGAAGTTGGTTGCAGAAACTCTCCTCTGTCGCTCAGGCTCCACTTTCATTTGCATCCAGCTCTGATTGCACGGTTACAACGTTCAGTCTAACATTACTGAGGTTCAGTCTAACATTACTGAGGTTCAGTCTAACATTACTGAGGTTCAGTCTAACCTCGGCTCTCTGTTCGAGGTAAATTACATGTGTTTGTGCTGGATGTGCAGGGAGGAGCGGCTGGGTGCGGCGCATCTCTGCAGCTATTAATAACCATCACAGCCTTTATGTCAACCCAGATCAGGCTGTTTATCAGATTCCCTTATAAATTTGGTTTGCTCCAATAAACTTAAAATATATGCTGCAATAAAAACCTCTTAAGTTTCTTTATTAATAATCTCTAACAACATTTCTAAACAAAGCTGGTCTGGCAGCTGATGTTAAATTAAAAACACAACCAGTATCTAAAATATTATTGATCCTGCTTCATATAAAGGTTCTCAATGCTTTGATCACATTTTAATTACTGCACATTTTAATAAAGCTCTGTTTCAGTTGCTATTTGTTCATTCAGCTCCGACAGTCAGAAATAACCTGAACTAGTTTTAAAGTAATCAGACCCATTAATAGGACAAAATGTGTCAGAATGTCCAACAGGTGAAGTAATCAGTTCATGTTTCACCCCACAGTGATTAAGCTCTGATTTCTCCCTCATGTGTGGAAAGTTCTCCCTCGTTCTTCTTCTCCTGGTTTGGATAAATCACTCGTCTTCCTCCACCTCCTCTTCTAGAAAGCGTTCCCTGCGTGAGGCTCCGCCCCCTTCCCTCCCTCCTGATCCGTCCAGCCGCCCTGTCAGTCTGGGTCCAGACCGTTTCTGAAGCTGAAGGAAAGATGTCGCTCCGCAGCCTGCTGGCTCTGCTGGGACTCCTCTTCCTCTGCAAAGGTAGGAAACTCCACCAGCTCCCTGACAGACTTGCTGCTCGCCGCAGCTTCCATCCTTCAGGCTGATCTCCTGTTGATTCAACAGGAAAACAACAAACTGCTGATAAAAGTGGAGCATGAAGAAGGAAGGCTTAGCAGGAACAGATTATTTACAGGCGTCTCCATCTGTCGGGAATCAGACGGTTTGTTTGTGTCTGGACCCCCGCTGACCTCTGACCCCAGCCTCATTATTCAACAGGCAGCTGTAATCAGCGGCTGGCTCCATGAAGGCGCAGGTGGTGACGGGATGAGGCGTTTTTTTATAGCAGCTTGATCCTATTGAGGCCACCGTCTCACTTATATGTGCTACTTGTAGAGCAGGAAACGCCACCTGAGGCTCAGCGGTTCGGAAAACGTTTGTCTCATTTAGAGCAGCAAATAATTCAGCAAACCCAGAGAAGATGGTGCAGCTGTTCACCTGCTGGCTGCTAAAGACCGAGGCTGGGAACGAGGGTCACTGAGGACAGCAAGATGTTCGGTTTGGATCCGATTGGGACTGACGCAACAATCAGTTTAATCATGTTACACCTGAACGTCAACAAACCGCCGAGCCAAGTGCTCAGTTACCATGGTAACTTGGTTTAGCCATACACGTCAACTACAAATAGACACAAGTCAACATTATTTATGTAGAGCATTTTAGCAGCAAAGCAGTTCAAAGTGCTTCACAAGACACAAAATACAGTTAGTTATGAAAAATACAATCACTGTTATTATGAATCAAAAGCAACAATAACCAGATGGGTTTTAAGTCTGGACTTAAAGGCACTCAGTGTTTCAGCTGTTTCACAGTTTTCTGGAAGTTTGTTCCAGATTTGTGGTGCATAGAAGCTGAAAGCTGCTTCTTCATGTTTGGTTCTGGTTCTTGGGATGTAGAGCAGAACCAGAAAACCTGAGAGGTCTGGAAGGTTGGTTCAACAACAGCAGATCTTTAAACCATTCAGTGAATTATAAACTAATAATAGTAGTTTAAAGTCTTTTCTCTCAGTAGAAGGACCGTAGAACTGGGTGATGTTCTCTATCTTCCTGTTTTAGTGGGAACAACAGCAGCGTTCTGGATCAGCTGCAGCTGGAGGATTGAGTTTTTTAGGCAGACGCTGTTGCCGTAGTTGATGCGGCTAAAGATAAACGCATGGATGAGTTTCTCTAGATCTCACTGAGACAGCAGGCCTCTAATCCTGAGATTCTTCAGGTGATAGAAGGCCGACTTTGTGACTGTCTTTATGTGACTCTGAAGGTTCAGGTCAGAGTTCAGCCTGATCTCTAGTTTCCAGATGTAATAACTGATGCTGTGTGTTGGCTCTAGATCTATAATCTAGATCTATAACTCTAGATCGCTCCTCTTTAGGTCCAAATGTAATAACTTCAGTTTTGTTTCTTTTCAGCCAGAGAAACTTTTGGCTCATCCACACATTTATCTGTTCTCAGCATCTGTGATTTCAGTGTTTGATGCATTCATAATGTTCCCAAACTGATTATGATTTATGCTGATTGTGTGTGATACAAACCATCAAAAGTGAAAATAATCAACTTTTTACTACAACTTTAACTCTGTAAAACTAGGTTATGAGCAGCCGCCATATTGGATTTTAGGTTTGGTGTGAACACTGCAGGGTTTTCTCCAGTTTATTTGATTTCAACTCAACAGCTGGAAGTTCAAACATCCAGTTATTAAGCAAATGCATCAGCAGGCAACAATTCAAACAGATGAAAAGTTGGAACTCGCACATCGTGATCTAAGTTCCAACAGGTTTTATCTTTGCTGAAAACATCAAATCAATTAAAATTCTCATTCCTAATAAACAAATGTTAAAGTATAGATCTGTGTTAAAGTTAAACCCCCAGATGGTTTGGTTTCCTACGCACCAAATGACAGGAATTAAAAAATGTCCAAGTCAGAAAGAAATTAACCTTTGACTCTTCTGCATCTCTGTTGGTAAAACAAACCAATAACAAATGTATTTTTCTGTCTCAAACACTAAAAAGTCGAGTGTTTCACAGAGATTCAGTCAGAATTTAAATCTTACTGCAGCAGCCATGTTGGATGTGAGGTCAGGTTCGGCTTGATGCCTTCACATAATCTCAGCTTCTTTAGCTTTATTTTTATTAGTTTATTTTTGTTTTACATTAAACTTAGAACATGGCGTTGCAGTTCCCTGGTGTGCAGACAGAGGGCAGCATCAGCATTCAAACACTTTTCTCCAGCTTAACTTTTTCTTCTGGTTTTTATCTAAACATGAAGCAGACAGAGACTTCTCCAGTTGTCTTAACCCTTTGGGTGGCTGATCAGCTGTTTCTAATGTAGCTGCTGATTTGACATCCTGACATAATACTGTTATTTCCACATTATTCCCTAATGTTGTATAGTTTTTTAATCTCTCTGTGTTTGAAAGTTAAAGCCAGCAGACGTTGCTTAATGTTTGGCGCCACATCGATCCTCTCAGGAAGAACATTCTGTGGTGATCGGATCCGCTGGGACTCCCGGGTTTCCCTGATCACTTAACAGATAACTCCCTGATCCGATTAGCCTGAAAGTAATTCCTCATCTACAGGAAGGCTTTGATATTTGTTTCCTTTGCGGTTTTTATCCAACTTAGTGTATATTTAGTTTTAATGCCATCTGAGGCATAAAAACAGAAATGTCCTGATTTAAATCTTCTGGGATGATGAAGTGAGATTAGATTAGGAGGCTTCAGATCCTTAAAATAGGCTGAATATTTATCCTGATTATTAAACTGATCCCTCACTGAAACAGCAAAGACTTGATCCCTCCATTCACACTTTAAATCACCATCTGATTTTTTATCTCTGCACATTTTAACTGGATCCAAGGTTCAATAGGAAAAACAATCAATTTAGGTCATTTAGGAGGTTGGAAATGTTTCTATGTGGAGGAAATGTTTTTATTATTACTCAACATACTTCATATGTTTTAATGGGATTTATTTTAAATTCCCACAGTTTAGATCTTTATTTATCTATACAATCATGACTTTGTTTCTTTGTTTAGATTTATTATCTTGTATGAAGAAGTTACTGATAGTTAATAAATTAAACTAAAATGTTGGATTTTTATTTTTAAACTTGTTTTAAAAAATAAAAAAAACTGTGTAAAAAGACGAGTGGTTACATGAAAATTCTGCAGAATGTACCAATTTTTTAAATTAATTGTCAGAATAATCAATAAATTAATCAATTACTAAAATAAATACATATAAATACAAAAAAGTGAAGAATATTTTCCAAACAGAGCAACAGGTAGTGGAATTATCCTTCATCTTCTTTTTGATCAGACTCAGATGTTGCTCTAATTTTCATTTGACCCCTGACCTCCATGATGTCCGTCCAGGTGAGTCCGGCACCGAGGAGCCCTGTGATAACTTCACGGACCTGGACCTGTCCCACTGCTTCATGGGGACCAGCCTGTACGTCCGCCTGCTGCTCTACACGCGCTCCAACCCGGACTGCGGCCGTGAGGTCGCCCACCACCGCCTGTCCTCCCAGCCGCTCCTGGACCTGCGGCGCCCCACCGCCTTCGTCATCCACGGCTACCGGCCCACCGGGGCGCCGCCCATCTGGATCAACCGCATCGTGCGCCTGCTGGCCGAGCAGGAGGACATGAACGTCATCGTGGTGGACTGGAACCGAGGAGCGGCCAACCTCAACTACTTCACCGCCGTGACCTACACCAGGGAGGCGGCGCTCAACCTGACGGGCTTCATCAGAACCATGGAGGTGAGGCGGCAGAAAAATCCGACCTGGGTCACATTCTGTTAACACAGCCTGAGTAGATGAGAGCGAGAGGTTCTGGACCGGGATGCTTTCAGCTCAGAGGCTGACAAGGAGACCCAGAAAATGTTTTTGTTGTTTTAAACTCTGATTTTCTTAAATAAATAAAAAACTGACAAATCTATAAACACAAAGAGTGAGATTAGCTACATTCACACAGCAGGTGAAAGCGACCCTCATACTGTATGACCCCTAATAATTTTCATCTAATCTGTTTTTCTTCCACACGTGAAACTAAATCAGATTGTTTTAAAGTGTCTGCAGTCTGAACCGTCATGTCACGTTTTATTTTACGTCATTAATGTGAGAAATCCTTAATAAATCTGCACCAGAAGAAGCCAGACGCTGTAATCAGGACGTAAACAATATCTGAAAATTATGATTATGAAATTATGAAGCAGTCTGAGTCAGTGAACGCATCACCATCACTCCACTGACTCCACATCCAGTCACACTTCTCTACAGGAGCTGCAGCTGGAGCTTCGCTCCACGGGTTTAATCGGTAGAATGAAAGTTCCCGCTAAAGAAACCTAATTTTATCTGATTAGCTCTCTGGCCTGTCAGCTCCTGATGCTGCTTGAACGTGTCGCTGCAGGAGGAAGGCGCCTCTCTGAGCTCCATCCATCTCATCGGCGTCAGCCTGGGAGCTCACCTGGCCGGGTTTGTGGGAGCGAACCTGAAGGGAGCGATCGGCCGCATCACAGGTAAAACTGTTAGCATCCAACCAGAGAAGCTAACGGCTCAACGACGAGAGGAAAGACTTCAGGTCATTCAGTCTGTCCATGAAAATGACCTGCAGTCACAAATACTCAGCATTTATCTGTCTGCTTACTGTCTTCTGTAGTATTTACAATAATACACAATAATTAGCAAAAGTATTTATAAGCTTTTCATATTTATTCGTGTTACATATTTTAATCTATTTATTGAGATTTTATCTAACAATCCAACACAAAGTTATTAAAAATGAACTTTTTACATAACATTCTGAAAAGTTTGGCATGTATTTTCATTCCCCCACCTCTTTACTCGGATGCCACTAAATAAAATGTAGTGTGATGACCTCACAGGTCTTCTTTGTCTCATTGGCTGTCAGCCTGAATCTGTTCTGTAGACTGACTGACGTTAGTGTGTGCTGCAGGTTTGGACCCAGCCGGGCCGATGTTCACCAGCGCCACCCCGGAGGAGCGGCTGGACCCGTCGGACGCCATGTTTGTGGACGTTCTGCACACCGACATGAACTGTGAGAATCACACACTGACCTCAGCGTTTGGTGGAAACGGAGCTGAGGGTTCATTTGGTCCTGACACTAAGACACCAAGCTGTGAATCAATCCCATCATTTTGATTCTAACTGATAAAACTTAGAGCTAAAGCTCCGATTCTAATGTTTATAACTGTGGCTGCACCGATTGCAGTTTTCTGGTTACCGATCTTTAGCCAATTTCAATTTTGGCTAATATTGATTTTTTTTTTTTCTGAAATGTTGCTAAATTTAGCAAGAAATCACTAAGTTGGCAACAGTGGGGTGATTATTATTAGCTGTAAACATTCAGACATGACCTGATGGTCAAACTCCTCACTGCAGACCAGAACAGTTGATGATTTTTACACCTTTTCTGAAGTAGATCAGATCAGCTTAGCATGTAAGAACCGGCCGATCACCAATCTCTCAAAGTTAAGGAAATCAGCACCAATAAATCACATGACCAATAAATTGGAGCTCCCTTATTTATAAACAGTTTGCATATTAATTGATAACTGAATAAAAACAGTCAGAATTTGATCAGTTTTTCCTCCTGGCAGCGTTCGGGCTCCGAGGAGCTCACGGCCACATTGATTTCTACGCCAACGGTGGAATCGACCAACCAGGATGCCCCAAAACCATCTTCTCAGGTAAAACCCTCTGGCTCCGCCCCCACAGGCTCACACAGGTATCATTACCCCTCACCTCCTCCGCTCCTCTTCGTCCTCCTGCAGGTAAATCGTACTTTGTGTGCGACCACCAGCGCTCCGTGTTCCTGTTCCTGTGTGCCCTGAACCGGACCTGCCGGCTCACTGGATACCCCTGCTCCTCCTACAGCCGCTTCCTGGATGGACAGTGTCTGCAGTGTGACGCCTTCAAGCCAGCTTCCTGTCCTGTGCTCGGTACGCACACACACACACACACACAGAAACACACCTCAGCTTCTGTCTAAACCAGGCGAGTCCAAAGTGTGGCTCGTGGGCCATTTGTGCCTGTGAGGATTTGAGTTTTTTGTGTATTTATTTCTAGGTTTTTCTGAGTTTATTTCGTTCTGTTCCCCTGTGAGTCTGTGTTGTCCTGTCAGCCCCTGATTATTCCCAGGTGTGTCTTGTTCCCTTGATTACCTGTGTGTATTTAAGTCCACCTGTTGTCTCTGTTTCTTGTCCTCATCTTTGTCAGCGTCAGTCGTCTCAGTAGAACTGGTTAAGTACTGTGTCGGCATCAGCTCTCGTTTTTTCAGTCCTCTATCAGTTGCTACCGGTATTTAGCTCTGTGCTATTCTCTCTGCTGTGCCGCCTGCATTGGACTGTTTGAGCTTCTCCTTATTAAATCATCATCACCTGGGTCTCTGCGTTCATCCTCACCACCTCCAAACCACCACTTCATGACTGGGCCTCTTGGAATAATTTGTTGGTCTCCTGGCTAATGTGTATTTTTTTGACTTTATTCTCGTACAAGTTTGTTTTCATAAGACTTTTAGCTCATAATTTTACTAGTTTATTCTTGTCATTTTATTCATTTTTTTTAATTTCTAGCATGATCCTAACATGTTGTCATAAACATCCAGTGACTTTTTACTCAATAGAAACTTGGTTAAACTTGGTTAATGGAGAGTTTTTGTGGAGAGTTCTCATTTTTGTTGCTGTAAGTGGACAAAAACATTTTCTTGACCAAATAAACTGAAAAAAAATCACCCAAATAGTTAGAAAACTCTTATTAAGCTTTAGCAGAAGGATACTTTTTTATGTGTTGTTAAAATTGAGATACATTGAAAAAAGCACATAGTTTCCAACTTAACGACAAAAAATAAATCCAAAACAATATCACTCATATTTTTAGTGTCATTCTGTTATAGAAATTTAATTTATTACATTAAATCCCAGGTAAAACCATTATAATTTGATTCCTGGTTTGTGCCTGCAGGCTACAACATCAGCCAGTGGAGAGACGCTCTGGTGAAGATGGGACAGACCAAAGTCTTCTTCAGCACCACGGCCGCCCTGCCCTACCAGAGTGAGTCCTGCTAAGGTTTTCACACCCCAACCTGGTTCTGAAGTAAATACGTCCTGGAAGGTGCTGTAATACTCTGTGTGTCCTGTGGGGGGCAGAGCTGAGCTACAGAGTGGACATGGTGACCTGGAACCAGTACCTGCGCTGGGGGGTCGTCTACATCCGCCTGCACAGCGGCAGGAACTTCACAGAGGCCCAGATAGACCAGTGAGTTCGACTCCTGACTGGTACAACACCAGGCTGGCAAAGTCCTGATCCAGATCGCCTGGTTCTGGTCCGGACTTCCTTTAGTCTGGACCAGAACTTCTTCAGGATTCCTGAAAGTATTTCAAAGGTTTTAGCAGCTGTAACTCATATCATGCAGGTATCTTCAAATATTTGTTGTGAGTGGCGATTCTGTGGGCAGCAAAGGTCTCCAGTAGCAGTCAGTCTCCCAGCAAATACACAAAGACCTCTGACTGAAGACAGCTGTTAGCCAGCTCTGCTAATCCACCTCATTTGCTCTTGCTGCTCCACTTTTAATCTATGTCAGGCAATTTAAAAGCAAATTTTAAAAATGATACTTGGAATAAGTTGGTATTAAAACTAGCACCAGGACTTTTGATTAATTACTTAGGTAGATTTCAACACGTTAAAGTTTTTTACCCAATTAATCACTTTGTTTTTCTTTTTTTTTAACATATAGAAGTCCTGAACAGGATTTGTTTGTTCCTGGTACACCCATAAATCTGACGTCCAAGTGACATCTGCTAACAGCAGCGATGGAGGCGCGGGTTAATTTCTGCCTCTGAACGATCTGATTGGACGCCTATTCATGCTAAAATAGCATCTCAATGCTAACATAGCAGCTAATGCTACATGTTAGCATTGGACAGACCAAAGTCACATTTCCAAAGAAGCTCCATGAATGATCAGATTCAATGGATAGAAAAACACTTTGAAACAATCTGATGGTTAAAGAACAGATTAAAAACTACGAATGTATTTGGTGTTCTGCTCGTCTAGTTTAGCAGAAAAAAAGTTTTTATTCTGAAAGTGTTGCTAATTTTATCTGTGTTTGGTTTGATTAATATATGTTTAATTAATTACAGACCCTGCCAATAAACTGTATTAATTTTAACTGAGTTTCCGATTTAGTTTAAATATTCCTGGTTTTTCTGATTTAGTTGAAATATTTCAGGTTTTTCCGATTTAGTTTAAATACTCCTGGTTTTTCTGATTTAGTTTAAATATTCCTGGTTGTTCTGATTTAGTTTAAATATTCCTGGTTTTTCTGATTTAGTTTAAATATTCCTGGTTTTTCTGATTTAGTTTAAATATTCCTGGTTTGTGGCAGTAAGCTGCAGCGACTGGAGCAGTACACCTCCACTCGGCTGCTGGCCCAGTTCGACGAGGATCTGCAGAACGTCCAGAAGATCTCCATGAGGATCAACACCGGGAACATCATCGGCCCTCGCTACAAGATCAGGCTGCTGAGGATTCGCTTCACTCCGCTGGAGCGACCCGACAGGTCAGAGGTCACCACACTCATCATCTAAATTGATGGTTTTAAACTTTTTATGATTTATTTTTGGACTTCTGGCTCAGTTCTCTCAGTTTCCCTCTTTGTTTCAAACTGTTTTTACATCATTCTGATAGTTTTGTGCCTTAAATTTAAAACCAATCAGATTTCAAGTCCAGTAACAGATAAAAGTACAACAAGATTTAATCAATAAAACAACAAAGAAAGGATTATGATGTCATTTTTACGACTTTATTCATGTATTATCACAATTTTATTTTGGAATTTTTACAACTATTCTGGCATTAATATGACTTTATTCTCATATTATTATTACTTTTTTCTGGTATTACTAATAAAGTCATATAACTAACAATGAATAAAGTCACACCATAATATGACTTTATTCTGGTATTATCATATTGTATTCTGGAATTATTGTGACTATTTTCATAACATTATGACTTTACTCTTGTAATAAACAAATACATTCTTATCCAGGCCCTAATACTCAGTCATATCCTGAGCTGTAGAGGAGCTTAGCTTTGTTTTTGTTTTTTGAGAATCAGAAAACATCTGATTAAAATAAACTCTAGAGCTTCTAAAAGTAAATCCTGCATATGGAACTGAAGGTTAAATGATTCAAACTAAGATCTTTGGGTGATCTCTCTATGTTCTGAATCAGTTCCCGTCTTTGTGTTTGAGAGGAAACTGTTTTTCTGTCGTTTTGCCGCCATCAGGCCGGTGATGTGCCGCTTCGACATCATCATGGAGGAAAACACAGAGGTGGCGTTCAGACCTCTGCCCTGCGACTCTCGCCTCTGACGTTTCCATGGAAACCAACCCGACTGAAACCCGGGTCGGACTCGGCTCTGACTGGTGACCTGCCGCCGCTGTCGGTCGCCCCTGGTAACCAGAACCAGGAAGTGGACCGTTGATGCTGAGGACAGATTAGAACCAGAGATGAAACTCTGGATTATTAATCCAGTCGGCTTCAGTTACTCAGTGGCTGCAGAGGCTCGTTTAATAAAGAGGTCCGTTAAAGACTTAGCTGCTAAACAGAGAACTACATATTCATTACATTCATGCAGTCTGTTCATTGGCTGCATGTTACCTTTTAAAGTAGCCTTGATAATTATCTCTGAAGCTGTTTTTTGGCGACTGGCTGCTGCTTTACTCAGGTTAAACACACAGAAACTCAATAAACTCAGCAAAGAACCAGTTTAAACTGGATCTTTAGTTAGCAGCAGCTCATCACAAAGACAAAAACTATGATTTTTCATGTCATTTTAGGAAGGTAGATAATTTGCAGTTGACCAGAATCTGTTCATTTTTAGCTTGATCCATCCTTACTAATGACCTGCCCGCTGGAAAATCACTAATTTCATCAGCAAACACTCTTCAGTGTGGAAGGAAAGGTGTCAAATCAAATGAAACACAAAAGCAGCAGGAAGTTTAAACTGTTCATTCACGCAGAGAGCTGATGAACGTTTCACTGCTTTTCATTTCATATTTACAGTTTTAGATGTTTCCTGTTTGACGTTGCAGGTAACAAGGACTTTTTGCCAATTTGATAAAATACCAAATTGTAGTCATAAGATGCAGAAATGTATTTTTATAGTTTAATTACTAATAAAAACTCATGACAGGAATGAAAATCTGAATATGGTGCGTTACTTATCTATCTTCACTTTTACAGTCTGAACTAAAAAGTACCAATATCTCATGATCTGCTAAATGTCTTAACTCTTCCTGTCCAGATTATGAGAATGTTTGAAGCCATGTTGCTGTTTATTTCTAGAAACTTCAGATCAGTCTCAGGATTGTAAAAACACATTTCTTCTATCTGTGCCTTTTTTTCAGCAGCTATGACTATTTTTAATCTGCGGCTCCTTTTAAAGATCCATCTGAAGATGCTAACATTTCTGCTGCAGTGATGTGAGGAATCCTACTAGGACGTTATTAGTAGTGAATGTGACACACTGAGCAGCAGATTCTCTTCTGTACGATTTATAGAAAATATCTGCTTTTTTGTGCATTATTTTCACACTGTGTCAAAAAATACAATAAAAACCAATGAATCAATGTTTGATTTGGTCTTATTGGTTGAAGAATTAAAGTTGGATGTTTGTATCACCACTAACTGCAAAGGCAGCGGAGCTTAAAGCAATCAGGGATAATTGGTTACTAATTCCTGAGGTGTGTTTATGGACAAACTGAAGCTCAAACACAAAGAAAATATCAAACTAGTCACATCAGATTGTAACCATGGTAATACAACAACCTTATTTTTTACCATTAAAATCTTTTAGTTTAATAAAGCACTTTCATGGTAGTGTTTATGCAGTGCTGGTTGATACTGTAGCCATTTCAGATGGACTTCACCATCCATATTGAATTCCAAAAACGTTTAGAACAATTACAGAGACAGTGTTTAAATTAAAAATATATTTTTAATTTGTTTCGCATATATTCTGAATGTAATAAGTTTGAGAAATCCTCATTTCTTTTTAAAAAATATTTTATATGTTTTTTTTAGGCTGAATAATTAGCGTTGATAAATGTGATAATCACAGATTATGTAAGTTGCCTTGTTGTATTTTCTGTGGCTTTTTTAAGTCTCTTTTGGTTATTTTTAGCGCTGCCATCGGTTGTGACTCGCTAAACGTGTGTGAGCAGCTAAAACTGCGCTGACCCATATTACACCTGCCAGCTTCGGTTTGTAATAACTGTGACGTAACACCGCCGCTGGGGGGGCCTGCTTGTGCCTGGCACGTGCGCGCCGACACGAGCCAATTTGATAGCCGCGTGAGGAGAACAGACGAAGGAGGAGGAAGAAAACGATGCAGTTCAACCTAAAACTACTTTATGCTGTAATTATAAACATATGACGAGTCATTTTTAACGTTTTATTTATACAGAAGAAGGTTTATTCTACCGCCACGCAGTTCCTCTACCTGGTTGCTAGGAGACGCAGTGCGGCGTGAGCTGGCGCATTAATATGTAAATTAGACAAATGGTGATGCGGCCACAGATTCGAAAGTATTTCATTTGAACAAAATACAAATTTGTTCCCGTTTTTATTCAAATATAGAAGACATTACCTTCCTTTTACTAGATAAACTTCCTCTTAATTATTGTGTTTCTATATTAATGTATATATTTTCTAATACATAAAAAGTAAAAACAGTTGTTAGCTTAATTTTGAGCAGTTAGCTTATTTCATTTGAGACAAAAACCTTAAATATGGTTAAAATATTGTCATTATTTTTCGGTTAGGCTCAGAGGAAACTGTACAGGGTTTAATAGAGGTAATGTTTGACAGCACCCCCTCCCTTTTCTGCCTCTCCTCTCCCAGCATCTCTGTTATTCTTCGTATTTTATCTGAGTCACTGTGTCGTTCGAACCGAACCGGAACTGTTCAGCAATTTTTCCAGGTTCTGTCTGGTTCCTGTGGTGAAAATACACGATGACCCAGGTGGTTCCGAGGCGTGTTGACATGACAGGTAAGGCAAAATGGGGTTGATTAGCGTTTTTCCATCTTACTCAGGGTAACTGTTCTCATAATATGATGAAATAATCGCAGAACTACTTTACAGTGCTGGCTGACAAAAAACAATTCTTGATATTTCAGTTTATAAATAACATTCAAGTGAGAACAATATGTGTTTGTTGCATTAACTGCATGGATTAAATCATTTCCCGCCCTCTTTTTTCTATAAAATGTTCAAATTTAGGAAACATTTAAGTTGGAAAAACACTGCTGGTCCTTGATGCAATGTTTTTATTATTGTTATTATATTAAGTATTTTTGTCTGTGCTGTTGGAAGATAAATCAGACATAACATTATGACTACTGTCAGGTGAAATTATTAACACTATTGGAGTGGGATGTATTAACCAGCAAATGGACATTTTGTTATTTAATTTGATGGGTTAGAGGTAGGAAAAATGTGTAGCAATTTGAATTATTATGGTGAGACGACTGGGATAGACCATCTTCAAATGAGGAGCTCTGGTAGGATCTACTTTATTGTTCCCAAAGGTAAATTAGATGTTACTGTAAGCCATATAAAATTATTTTAAAAAGTTGTTGTAGATGTTAATGGCTGCAGGCAAGAATGATTTCCTGTAGCAGTCAGTACAACAGTGTTTCTGAATAAGCCTCTGACTGAAAATACAGTCTGATGAAGAGGATACTCGGGCTTATTACACAAAATTTATCCAGTTATAAATGAAATAATATGCCTTTTTAAATATATATTTAATAATTATATTACTTCAAATGCTTATTTATCTTGATGAAAAGTTGCTTCTTATTTGAAGTTATTTAAATTGTTCTAGGATATTTGCATTAGAAAGTTAAAAATGTTTGGTAAAATGTGTTTTGCAGGCTGGTGGTCATATTGTTAAATCTAAGCAGTTTTTTCTGTAAAGCCATTTATCCAGCTTATCATTATAAAATAAGGTGACGCCATATGACTGTAAATATGTAAATATTTCACTGTTATGTAATTTCATCCTGCGGTTAATTAAAGTGGAGCCAGAGCCCCGGTTGGGTTGGGACTAAACTGAGATTTGCATATATTTGCATGTCTGATGACTGAGCTGAGAATCTGTTTTTAGATGTTTGTGAGCCTCCATCTGTCCTCTGACGTCTTCTGGCTGATTTCATGTCAGTTTGAGTGAGTGAATGTGAAAAAACACAACATGGCTGGAGGTTGGGCTCCAAGGGTTCTGCTCAGACAGCTCTGCTCTGACCCTTGACCCCAACCTCCACACAGGGATGGCAGCTGATTCATTTTATTTCGACTGGCGGCTGTGGATGCAAGCAGAAATTGGATTTATATTTAATGTTGATGATGTTTTTATCTGTAAAATCTCAGCTTTGGTTCCTCCTCCTGCTACACTGACCAGCAGCAGACATACTTCACCTGTTCAGTCACCGTCCAGTCCTACAGGTAAACACCAGGAACTCTGCTGTGAAAATAATGCAATATATAAATATAGTTTTTAATATTTGTGATTAAATTGGAACTACTCTGACATTTTAATACACTACAGGAAGTGAATATTTATCTTCTTTCTCATTTCTCCAGGCTCTCGGCTGAATTTATCTAAAGAAAGACAAGAGAGCAGACAGAGAACACAAGGTCAGTTCTCCAGCAGGTGGCGCCATTTCCAAACACTTTAAAACACTGACAGGGAAAAAAATCAATTACAATTTAAAGGCAGCATTTTTTAGTGCAGCTATGTGAAAAATGTGAACATTTGGGCCGTAATGATGATGCGTGTGTTTGTCTTCCTGCTGGGCGGCCATCAGAGCGGTCGCTGCAGGATAAGGAGCGGCGCGCGCAGCAGCAGCTGGAGCGCTGCGCCGAGGAGCGAGGCAGGAAGATGGAGCAGCAGAGGAGGAAGGAGCAGCAGCGCCGGGCAGCGGCCCAGGAGAAGAGACGGCAGCAGCAGGATGCAGAGAAGGTCAGAGGTCACCACAGGATGGGGAAGATAAAGCTTAACTTAAAACTACGTTAACAAAACAGAGTGTAAACAGAACGGCAGCCATGTTTCCTGGTTATAGACTGAGAGGCGGAGCTAATGCATCCAACCAACCATCCGTTAATACATCCATCTATTCATCTGTTAATCAATTCATCCATCCATCCGTCCATCCATCCATCCGTCCATCCATTTGTTGGTTCATCTGTCCGTCTGTCCATCCATCCATCCATCCATCCATCCATCTTTCTGTTTTCTCCACTTCCTTTCTTCCTCTCCTGTGTTGCTGAATTACCTGAGTTGATCTGTAGCTCAGTTTCTGTTTGCTGAAAGTGAGGAAGACTAATAATGCCACAGCTCCAGTGACTTCCTGTCTGTTGGCCAAACTGTGTTCATCCGTCCGGCTGGCACATGAAAAGCTTGGCTGAGTTTCTGCATCATGAGTCAGATCAGTTTTCCAGAGCAGCTCCACATCTGCAAACAGCAGATAAATGATCCAGTCCGTCCTGATAATCCAGGCAGAACTTCAGTTTTAAATCCTGCTGGATTTTTAAAGTTTCTTTCTGTTTCTTCTACCTTCCAGTTAACGACTATTTGGCTTTTCCTGAAGTCTCATTTATGACTCCAACTATACAATAAAAGCACTGCAAACTGGGAAGTTTTGTCTGGTTTTTATGGCTCTTTATTTGAGAGAGCAGAGACATGCAGTGAATGGCCGGATCAATAGAGACTGGATCTGGTACAGATCGCCTCCATTATGGTTAACCTGCTGCACTTTAAAGCTTTTTATAAACAAATACATCAAATTTATGTGAAGTGTCAGTATTCACATGGTTGGTCCTCCATCTTGCTTCTGAGTGACTTTAAGGACGTTTGGTGATTAAGTTGAGCAGAAAATACTGAAATAGGATTTTTATAAATGAAAGTTTAGGTTAACTTAGTAGGGAGTTAATCTGGATCTGATGTGTCAAACGTCTGGACACGACTGCAGCTGTGATGTTGGATCCTGTTCATTCAGAAATTAATTGTATTTAATACTGTTGAACCTCAGCATGTCACTGTAAGGTCACTTTAGTTTTCACGTATCAAAAATGACAAATAATTCTGAAAATATTGTATTTTAATTTCAAAACTGAGTAATGGATAAAAAACTGAAAAGGTTTTTCCTCGTTCTTAAATAACTAATTTTCATTACAAACAACTAACAAAGCTATATTTGTGCTTTCTGCTCATATTTTCTTAATCCTACAACCAAAATGTTCAAAAAGCCGAGTCTGTAGAGTTTATAATGATTTAATGTGAATCCTGCTTTTAAATCAAAATATTATCTGATTATACAATTTTATATATTAATATAATAAATACATCTTTGTATCAAGTAACTATATTGTGTTGGCAAGTCCAGTGTTTTATTGTCTTTAGTTTGGCAGGTTTATATGGAGGACTAATACTGCCAAAATTTACAATAAATAATTAAATGAGAAAATTAATAAATAAAGGTGGAAATTACAACATATTTATTAATTTATTGTTTTCCGATATATTTGTTCATTTTCAATTTTATTTTCTCATTTACCCTTTCTGTTTTATTTTTTCTTTTAATTCTTAATTTTTTTTCAATTTCATTTCCTCATTAATTTTTATTTCCATGTTTATCTATTCACTTCTTATTTTCAGCTTTATTTCCTTATTTATTTTAAATTTTATGGGGGGTTTTTGTCAGTTTTGGCAGGATCAGTTTTCCATAGTAAAATACTTTATGAAGTAGTTAGTGGAGGACGGAGCGACATTTGGATGTAATGTTTGTAGATGTGTCATTTATCCGCTGTCAGCCCCACCCATTCACATCCATATACATAACCTAATGACATAACGATTGGTCGGCCACCTGGGGAAATGACATCACTTTAATTTTCCATTTCCTGGAGCAGACGGTCGATGACAGCAGAGCGAAAGACAGATATGAGATCAATGTGTCAGAATACGAAGAATGAAAACCTGAACATATAAATTTGAGTAAAACGTAAAAGTAGAATTGAAATGTAAGGAATTATTTTATCTGTAAATGATCATTATCACTCACGTTTACAAGCAAACCACATAAATTAGTTTTGGATCTGAACATTGGACGCCATCTTTGTTTTTAAAATCCTTCTGTCAGCTCACCTGACAGAAGGATTTTGTCTGGACCAATCTATTTTAGCGATTTACATAAAAACTGACATAAAAACCTGATGATTTCCATTATTTTAGAGTCTTCCAGTTCCAGTGTTAAATGTTATTCAGAATTTAAAGTTTATTTGAGAATGTGTTCATTCCTTATTATGCCATGAAAATGGTCTCAAAGCAACAATGTTATTGTTCTGGGATAATTTATCGTCCAGTAAAGTTTGTTATAATGACTGATATGTAAATAAACTTCTTCTCAGTCGAGTATTTAACCTATTAGCTGTCAGAAAATGGCTCTACAGATTAAAATTAGTTAATTACAGCTACTAGAGGCGCATTTGCCTTGTAAATATCCTGGATTAACACAAATTTGCTTCTCGTTATTCCAGCCGATTCTTTATTATGGCAGAAGAGGAAATGTAACAGATATCATTAGATCCTTCAATAAGCCCTGAATTGGCTACATTTCGTCCTGATCGTATTTAATGGGTAACTTTAGCTGTGATTGGAGTTTCTCCCTGTCCTGCATCAGGATGCAGCAACAGCCTCTGCTGCAGTCGGCTAATCCATCCCCAGCGGTTGCTCCATCTTTGATCTGCTTCTGTTTCAGTTTCTGTCCACTTCTGCTCGCTCTGCCCCCGTTCTCTGGCGCTGCACCCCCTCCGTCCTCCTGCAGTGCGTGACTCTGCATGCACCTTCAGCAAACCCCCCTCAGTGCTGAGCCGGGGCATTTCCATCCCGTATAAACAGGCAGTTAACTGGAGCAGCTGGCAGAGTGACGGCGAAGCTGCTGCAGGTCTGGGGAGGAAAATATCAAGAAAACATTCAGAATAAAAACAGGGACAAGGGCTGAATGTTTACAGCATGGAAATACGAAAACAAATTAATCATTTAAAATACAATAATTCAGATTTTAAAAACCAGGAAAGTCTGAGCTTTTCACTTGTTAATGTTAGAATTATTTTTTTAGCTGCAGATGCATCTTTTGCTGCAAATAATGAAGCGTTCACTCAATCAATCAATCAATCAATCAAGTTTATTTGTATATCACAAGGCAGTTCAAAGTGCTTTGCATTTACAAAGCTATAAAGTCCAAACAGTCACCTGAGCAACGTTACATTTTAATGAGCCATCACCAGATTATTCACATCAGATCTGTTGGCCAATGTTTGAAAACCACAGAGTGCTGTTATTGAGCTTCAGGGAATAAAATGTTGATTTTCTTATTTAAAAAAGGAGTTGAATTATTTGATTATTTGTAATTTTTATGTATTTCTAATGTATAAAATAAGCTGTAGTGGTTAAATGAAAAATCTGCAGAATGTTTTTTTATCTGATTAATCAATTAGTAGAAAAATTGATTATTTGTCAGAATAATTTATTATTAAAATGAATTTTAGTTGCATCTCTAGTTTCAGGAAGCAGATTAATGACAAATAATCAGCATCCTTCTTGGAATAATTATTCGAATAATTGATTAATCACCAGAATAATTGATTAATCAACAAATTCATCAATATAATAATCAATTACTAAAACAATAATTAGTTCCAGCCATAGAAATGCCATCCTGTTGTGGCAATAATCTTTTTTTCTGTCCATTTTATGTTTTTAAGTTATAATTCAGCTGCTTCTTTATATTTTTTATTTCTGCAGTTGAGTTCTGCTTTTGTTTCTGATTAAATATTTTTTACTTGGAAAAAAATAATTTAATGAAAATATATTGAATAATGTCGTGTGCAGCTCGTTTGTATGTTAAAACAAATGTCAGAATAATTGCATGACAACACAACATGGAGTGTTTTCGTGTGTGTGTGCGTGTGTGTGTGTGTGCGTGTGTGTGTGTGTGTGTGTGTGTGTGTGTGTGTGTGTGTGTCGGGGGTTGGTGACAAGCTGCAGCTGGCCCCTCCTGCCAGGCAATGTGCTCTGTCATTAGAGAGGGAGTGGGCGATCGAGGTAAAGAGAGGGAGGAGAGAGAGGGAGTCGGAGCCGGCAGACGGACGAGCGAAGGCGCGGCGCTGCCGTATCATGACCCTCTGACTGACAGACAGGAGGACGCAGGGGGAGACGCTGCTGTTGCACGCGGTTGCCATGGCGCATCCGTCTCCGAGCGCATCGCCCGGCGTCCGTCGTCGTAGCGATGGCTCGGTGAGAGAATGTCTCTTCTTCCCTGTTTCTGAACGCAACGAGCAGGAGAGGCTGGAGGCCCTGGTGCGCCGGCGAGCCGGGGGCGCCGAGCGGCGCGGCGGCGGTGGCTGCGGCGGCGTGGAGGCCCGGGAGCAGCTGGACAACAGGCCCAAACGCTGGACCTGGGGAGGGCCGCCTGACGGAGCCGAAGGTGAGTTCAGCCTCAGCCGGGAGCTTTGTTGTGATGGTGATGATGTCATGGGAAGACTGGGAGTAATGGAGGGATGGGGGATGGAGAGGAGGAGTGGAGGTCAGGTGGAGAGGAAGAGGGGGATGGTGGGATGGAAGGGTGGAGACATGAGAGAGGAGGAAGTGATGATGTGAGGAGGAGAAGTGATGTAGGAAGAAAAGGGTGTGGAGGCTGCAATGCAGGAGCAGCAAACCTCGCAGGGCTTCGCATCATCCGACCTGAGCAGGTAACGGCTTCACCGCTGCTGGTCGGGGCTACAGGTGTGTGTGTGCGTGTGTGTGTGTTTTATTTCCCTGCTGGGAGACACAGAGTCTCACCTTGAGCACCAGGCCGCATGCAGAAACTCAAAGTGCGACATTACGGCTCGTTTCCTTCCTGATTCACGGCGCTCTGTTGTTTGTTTCTCCGTTACATCAGCGATGAACCGCCGCTGGTTTTATCCATCAGTTGTCCTCAGCTGAGGCTCTGGCTCCGGCCCGGGGACGGGGTCCGCCCAGCGGCGGCTCTGGCTCCGGCCCGGGGACGGGGTCCGCCCAGCGGCGGCTCTGGCTCCGGCCCGGGGACGGGGTCCGCCCAGCGGCGGCTCTGGCTCCGGCCCGGGGACGGGGTCCGCCCAGCGGCGGCTCTGGCTCCGGCCCGGGGACGGGGTCCGCCCAGCGGCAGCTCTGGTTCTGCCCCGGCTGCCTGATCTGGGATCTGCGGCCCACTGCAGCAGAAACAGCAGCATCTCATCTTACAGCTACAGGACGGAGATGATGGGCTGCGTTCTCAGAAACTCACATTTTCTGCATCAGAAATGCTTCAAAACTGATTTATTGGATGGGATGAACTGCAAATTTAATCTGTTAAATTAGGAATATAATGGATTAATTATGGAAATGCATCCAACTGTTGGAGCTGGACTGTTTTGTTTAGATTTTTAAAGCATCAACATTACCAGTCAGAGTCTCCTTTAGGGGTCCAGTCTGGAGAAAAGCGAAGAGTTTCCACCACTTCCTGTCCGGCAGCAGGGCATAAAAATAACATTTTTCACACCAAACCTGATTTCCAGTTTTAATCAGTTTTCTTTTTCTGGCTTTCTTTTCTAAAAAAAGAAAGAAAACACGTATTATTTCAGTCATCCTTCTGGGAGTTGACAAATAAATAAAAGCTGTGAAACAAGATGGTGGCAGAGTGCATTGATGGGGAGAAATTATTCCCCGTCAATTTTCTGTTGGTTTTAAAACTCCTGCCTCCGTCAGCGAACTTTAAGGAAGTGTTTTCTCTTTTGTTTCTGAAAAATTAGTTTATTTTCTCAAGTGTCAGGTACTGACTGGCTGCAGGAAGCGTTAGCAGGATGGGATGTTGGGCCTTTAGCTGAGTGTCTTAATGTGACCCGTCGGTTCTGGTTGATCAGGAAAATGTTTTTATTCAGCAGGTTGGAGCGATTGCCTTCCAGTTTGGTGTTGATCTTTGATCTGCCTCTTCATCCTGTTTGCTCTGCAGCGGCTAAACGCTGCAGTCGGTTAGGATTTGGATGCATTACAAACAGCATGATGACCTAATAATGGCTGACAGATCAGACATGTAGAGTCAGTGCAGACGATAAATCAGTTAATCATGAGATAAATTAAAACAAGCTCAATAATTTCCATTTTCATAATTTATTATTTTTCTCTCTTTCTACTGTGTGATAAAAGTTTTCAGTCTTTGGTCTCAACTATAGCAATTTTGTTTACAAAGACTTTATAATTAATTTTATTTGGGATATTTAAAATGTCTCCCAGTTCCAGTGTTAACTCTTCATTAGGATTTGAAGTTTATTTATCTTTGAGATTTTGCATTATTATGCTGTTATTATCATTATGTTACTTTAAAATTGTCTCAAGACAACAATATTATCGTTTATCGCTATAATTTCTGGGACAATTTATTGTCCAGCATAATTTGTTGTTGTGACGAACCTCTGAGTTTATCTGTGTGTCGCACTGCAGTTTGGACTGATTTCCTCTCTAATCTGTAATAAAAACCTTGTTTCATGCTTTATTGGATTCAGATTGAGATTTCTGCGTCTAACTGCAGTGATAAACAGCGACCTCCTTCCTCTGTTCTGCAGTGATTTAATATTTATATTCACTGGATTTACCTCCATATTTAACCATTTACTTATTTTGATTCTGTAAATGTTACACAGTCCCAGCTGCATGAAATAATTACATGTCTGATAAACGATTTAAAGGAAAATCTAAAAAAGTAGAAAATTATCTAAGCAAATAAAAAAGCGGGATACAAATGACTAAAAAAGTGAAACAGAATGGAAAAAATAAAGAAAGAGAACAGATTAGTTTAGTTCACATATTTCTTTATATTTTCCCATTTTTAGCAGATTTAGTTACATCTTAGATTTAGTTAGTTACAACTACGTGAGCTAACTCCAGCTTTCTGGATGAGGAAGTGACATCAAAGCTTCTTTATACCGAATAAAAATGGATCCGGATGAGAAAGTCTGAGCCTCTGCTTGTGCGATGTGACGTTTTGCTGTCATTTCACGGCGGATTTTTCTGTCGCCGTGTTTTGTTCAAGTCGTTGCTGCTTCCTGCTCAGATGGACGATAACTCCCGGAGTTTGGCCGGATTCCCGGGTGTGTGTCGGTGTGTGAGTGCGTAACGCTTTGCTTTTTCCGCTCTGCTTCGCCTGCTGCCCAGGTAACCCTCAGACCCCGCCCTGCCATGCCATTGGCTCCGCTCAGCCCAATGAGCTTCCTGCCGCTTCCAGCGCCAGCCAATCCCGTAACGGTACTGACCTCATGACTGTGTGCCACGCCCATCCCGCCTCCTCTGCAGCCGCCTGCATGCATGCGCCGCCTTTGTGTCGTCAACACTCAAAAAAATGAACTTAGGGGGTTATTAGAT